GAAGAGGTGAGATTTTCTGAATGGAGAGGAGCCGAGAGGCAGACCTGGAATGATTAGAGAGATAAAAGTAGCTAATGAACAAACAAGAGGAACAAGAGGCGTTAAGAATGAAACAGTCTCCCTGACTGCACCTACACTAAGCCCCATATCAAATCGCAGCCCTTTCATATCACTGCAGTGGCTTCAGGACAAGAAAGTGACCGCCCTTGTATGACCCAGTAAAAGTCAGGTCCTAAATCCCTTTAGAAAATCTGTTGAAAGACCTCAGTATAGCTGCTCACAGATGCTTCACATTCAGCCTGACTGAACTGGACTAACCGCTCTGATAAATGGTAGAAAATCCGACTTCAGATGTCAGCGGTGTCATTACTGACAAAATTAGCACTGACTTTGACTGTTAAAAAGTAATTTGGAAGTGAGGCCTATATTTCTTTTTCAATATGTCTCAGAAACAGTTCTAAGAACATTTTTTACGGTTGTCATGGGAGGGGGGGAGAAAAAATCATCATATTCCATTTCGAGATTATGCTGCAACACCATAAAATGTGGAAAAAGTCAATCTGACATTAAATGAACTGTATATTTCAGCTTACCAGGCTGTGTCAAAATTCACTGCGAGCTACAGTGGCAAAAATGTTCAGACGGGCTTCACTTGTACCTAAATCCTAACAGAAATTGGTTGAAAGAGCGGGATTGCAGAAACGGAAAAGGGACACAGCGCTGGGCCATATCTCTCCTCAAGCCAAATGAAAACTCAGAGTGATGCGTCAATCACAGGACTAGTCACACTGACAGAGACAGTGAGTGAGAGAGTCCAGCAGCCAAAAGAGCCGGCTGCCTGGAGGCATTTCACCTTGTCAAGGTCAAGGCTGTTAATGCTGAGTGACTTGAGTTTAAAATCCTGTAACGGGGTTTTTTACAGTAAAGAATTGCGGAGAAAGAGAGGGGAAACTCCCTCAAGTTGACTGCCTGCATGTTGTCTCAGCACCTTCTCTGAAAGTGGACACATGTTTTCATTTGGCAGTACACAAGGAGCTTCGCTAACTGCACCCATCTGTCTACACACACACACACACATCCACGCTCACTTGTTTTTGTCCGTTCGGACGGCGTGCACTTACACCTTTTCACTTTTCAGACTTCATCTAATGCTGAGCAGCACCAACAGCCACACCTTGACTCTAACATTTAATGTTTATCTTGTGGGATCAGTTGTTTTTCCACAAATGGGAAATGAGTCCCCATATTGACTGAGTGATTAGATATTGTCCCAGCAGGTAGCTGATTAATGGATAGTTCCGCGTAGCCAGCCCTTGCTCCACAGCACTGAGCCAGGGCTGCACAGTGGTCTGACTGCACCTCATCATCATTCTGCTAAAACAAAACAAATAAATAAAAATAACAACTGGCTTCTTTGTATTTCTTTAAACCAATCACCATCATAGTGGCGTAGCTGAATGAAGGATGCAGCACTGGTGACCCTGCAAAATAATGATGGAGGGTTTGTTTTGGAACTGTTGCACACAGTACGGCAAGCTCTAAAGGCTAATTCACTGTAAAAGGAAATACGTACATAAATACATTTAGCTGCTGTTGGAAAGTTGTTGTTGCTTCCTGTAGTGATTTTGAAGGCTTACACCCGTCGTCTACATCTGGTGTCAGACTAAATGCCCTCAGCATTCTTCCCCCCATTTAACAACTGATAAAGTGATAATTAGTAATTAAAAGGTATCACTCTTTGTAACAACCCACAATCATCAGCTGGCTTTATTCTAGTTTCTTTTAGCTTTTTCTTTTCTTTGCTTCTATGCTCTGACACCTCACTGTGATGATCAAGCTTGTTTCCAGTTACACCAGGCAGGTACATTCAGCCCTCCAAAAAGAGTGTCATGATAAACCCACACTACCTGAACACAGTGGAGCAGTTAATTGCTAAAGAACGGGTTATTTTCCTGAGGAGTGGATAGAGACTAAAACAGAGCTAAAGACAGTGTGAATATTGGGCTTAAACGTGGCTCCAGGTGAATGCTAATGGTGACTGTTAGAGGTGTAAAATGTAAAGACACAGCTGTGGGTCACAATGATCGTATGTTGTTATAATGCTAAAATGGTTTTAGTTTTGCTTTTTGTGTGTGTATAGATGTATTGTAATGTGGATTGCTGTTAGACTGTATTGCATGCGTTTTATTACTTAGCTCATTGGTATACATGAAATAGACAAAATAAAAGAAACAGTGATGATTATAACATACAGTGCAACAACAACACAAACTATAGCCTTCAACATGAGGTTAAATCCACACCAGTCAAAGGCTGAACCTCATACAGGGAGGATTTATTGCAGGGCTGCTGTATTAGAGTGCATTCGTTTTAGCTAGGTGTACCCAATAAACTAGAAACCAGTTGTAGTTGTGATGGTTAAAGCAGCTGTTATTGACAAGCTCTCAACTCAACATCGATGAGGCTTATGTGCCTAACAATGTCGGCAAACAGCAAGCGACCGAGCTCATACGCTTAAATCCACCTAATTACCAACACTAGGTAGAGGACTTACTCTAAACCGAAACATAAACTCTCAAGCTAAACTGAATTCTAACCTAAAAATCTAAAGTTTTAAAGGTGCCTTGTGGAGTTTTTGACCACTATAGCATCATGCAGCCGGGCTTTCATGATGCTTTCCTTGTGCTTTACCACAGCGGTCCCCAACCACGGGGCCACGGGCCGGTACCGGGCCGCACAGAAAGAATAAAAACATTTTATTGGTTTATTTTTATTTCCGTCGGAGTCTGCAGGGTGTTTTATTTTGAAAAATGACGAGCTCGTGCTTGCTTCTCACACTTGACTCTGTTAGTTTGCATGCTCGGCCGTTAAACGAAGCCGTCAGTCTAACCGCCGCCGAAATGAACAACAAAAACAAACGTCTCTGGAGAGCTTCGGTGGGAAGTGGGAAAGACTTGATGCTGACACAAGAAGCAAAAGGAAACACATATTTAGCAAGTAATTGTATTTGTTTATGAAACTTTTTAATCGTAAAAATGATTGTTTGTTATGTGACCGGTCCGTAGAAAATTTTCTCGCTTAAAACCGGTCTGTGGTGCAAAAAAGGTTGGGAGCGGCTGCTTTACCACACACGGTGTATGCGGCACAAGCATATAGGGAACACTTTCCAAAACATCCCCTCACCCTTTTCAGGTCCTCACAACAATAGATGTACAAGAGTGCACATAGACACACACTTATCCACACACAGCAAAGCTCTCTAGCAGCTATGAGGTCTTGTGACAACAGCAGGTGCACCTAAGTCCCTATAGAGGGCAGCTGAATGACAGATATAAAAGGACAAAACGTAATTAATAGCTGCATGTGATCCCTGGCAGTAGAATGGTTGGCATGTTCCGTGGCAGATAACAGGCCGCTGAGCTGATCAGCAGCGTGCTTCTAATGCTCAGGTGAGACTGACAGGTCTGTCTGCGGGTCGGGGGGAGTGTGTCTGATACCAGCTGCCCAAAACGTCAGCGCGAAAATGAAATTGCCTCTTGCGCCGCGGCGATCGTAGAGATATATGATGCGCTCACTTCCCATCTGACATGTAGTAAACGCATCTTATCAACTGTGACAGGGTGTTGTCACATCTGCAAAGCTGAATCCGGGCTTGTCATTAGGCTCTGTAATATGGTGCTTACTACTGTACATGTTCCACTGATGTGTAAGTGACAGCTGTGAAAACGCCGCGTGGCTAGACGGTGGGATCGTCTGACGTCGTCGTGACAGGCCGGTAAATACAGCTCAAATGCAGAAGTGTGTGTAATTAAAGAAAACTGGAGACGCAAAGCAGCACGTGCCTACACACACACACACACACACGACACACACACGTCATCAGATATTTGCTCTTTTGACTCCTTCAAGGGCACATCATGTATTTCACTTGGAAGAGGTTGAGGATCACAATCAGCTCTCCGCCACCTCTCCTTGTGCACAAGTGTGTGTTCTCCAGCAGAGACAAAGAACCCACTTGTGTGCTCTTGATTACTGGCCAGCCTGTAGATCGTGTTTGCCTGGCACGCACATTGTGGAAGTCCTTGCCGACAATTAGAAACATGCATTATTTAGCGACACGGGCCTCCCTCCCGTTCATTATTCACCGACATCAAAAGGTGACAGTTGAATGCGAGTTGAAGTTCACACATGCCAAAATCATCAGGGGGAAACTACCAAATGTGTTTACGCATTCACACACACACACACACACATTCGCCCAAACAATACAAATTTCTGCGGATGCATTTCCTCTCAACATCCAGCCTCGAGGCCCTTTCCCTGCGGCTTATGTTAACGAAGCCGCAACAGAAACAAATGAACGTCTCTGAAGGATTGTGTTGGTGTTTTTTGCATGTTTTAGCATATTTACAAATCTTGTGTTCTTAAATGGCTGCCAACTGTTTCCCAAAGCCGACCGCAGATTTTTTCTGATTTTCAAAAGGATTGTCCTTCCTGCGGTATGAAATGAAGTGCCTCCAGACTTATTTTAGATCATCACACAGTACATCTTCAGTGTGATAGTTACGCCATTAGAGTGAAGCAATGCAGCCATAACTCTGCTTCACTCCCCAAATTAGGAGTTTCTGACTTAAGTAGGACAGAGATGGCAGTGAGCAGCAAAACCTTCATCCTGGTGACAGATTTTTTCATTATTTTTTTCCATATTGTCAGTAAGCTGATATTTGCTCTGTGTTTATCTTTCTCCCACAATGAAACAAATGGCTCCCAGAAAGGTGAGAAGAAGCAAATATGCTCATATAAACAGAACAGCGTTACTGTCCTTTTACAGGCTGATAATTCTAAAAGGATTCTGCAGAAAGAATTTGGCAGCCAGTGGATAAAATAACTGCCGGCCTCTTTGTCTCTTTTTATTTGGATGTTCAGTCTGCTCTGCTTGTGTTGTCAATGACTCATGTGTTCTTCCTTGTCTCTCCTGTGGGTGTTTGTTTTATCTGCAGGGAACATCTTTGTGGTGAGCCTGGCAGTGGCAGACCTCGTGGTGGCCATCTACCCGTACCCTCTGGTCCTCACCTCCATCTTCCACAATGGCTGGAACCTGGGTTACGTCCACTGCCAGATCAGCGGCTTCCTCATGGGTGTCAGCGTCATCGGCTCCATCTTCAACATCACGGGCATCGCCATCAACCGATACTGTTACATCTGCCACAGCCTCAAATACGACAAACTGTACAGTGACAAAAACTCCGTCTGCTATGTGATGCTGATCTGGGCTCTGACTGTCGTGGCCATTGTGCCCAACCTGTTCGTGGGTTCCCTTCAGTACGACCCGCGGGTGTACTCCTGCACCTTCGAGCAGTCGGCCAGCTCGGCGTACACGATCGCGGTTGTTTTCTTTCACTTCATTCTGCCCATCATGATTGTCACCTACTGCTACTTGCGCATCTGGATATTGGTCATCCAGGTGAGGAGGCGGGTGAAGCCAGACAATCGGCCCAAGCTGACGCCGCACGACGTCAGGAACTTTGTCACCATGTTCGTGGTGTTCGTGCTCTTCGCCGTTTGCTGGGCGCCGCTCAACTTCATCGGTCTGGCCGTAGCAATCAGACCGCAGGTAGTGGTTCCCCTGATCCCCGAGTGGTTATTCGTGGCCAGCTACTTCATGGCTTACTTCAACAGCTGCCTTAATGCCATTGTGTATGGTGTGCTGAACCAGAACTTCCGGCGAGAGTACAAGCGTATTGTAGTGTCAGTGTGTACAGCTCGTATCTTCTTCCAGGACAGCTCCAACGACGCGGGGGAGAGGCTGAAGAGCAAACCATCGCCGCTCATGACCAACAATAACCAGGTGAAGGTGGACTCGGTCTGAACTACAACACAGAGACATGAATGGATATGCTGTTACTGAGAGGTTTAAAAAAAAAACAACAACAACAAAACACAACAAAACAAAACAAAAAGCTGAGTGAGTAAAAATACCAAATATAAATCTAAAGCAGCTTCTATCCTCTGAGCTGTCCAGACAGTCATACGGTGCTATCTGACCTCTGAACAATCACAGTAAGAACAGGGGTGCATATAATCTTCGTCCTTTATCAAGCACTTTTGTTTGACTCTGCAGTACCTGTAGTACAGTAAATATATGGTCTGTTTTGTTTTCATGTTTACAGTGATGATATAAATGTATCATGCATTATTATATAAGTATTTATTTTGTATCAAATGTAATGTAGATATATAACAAGATATATCAGGTTCCAGTTAAATGAAGCAAAATTTTGAGGCCAATAAAAAAAATCTATATATATAAAAAATTTATACAAAACTTGGGTTGAAAATATAACCACCAGTTTATAAGTGAAGTTAACCGATTTTAATAATCTCATTTGTGACACTGTAACACTAATTGAGTGCGAGCAATGTGGGTTGCTGCTGTCTTATTATACCCTACAGTACCGTCCCTTACATTAGGTGGAATATATATTTTAGTAAAACAATCTCTCTCTCTCTCTTTCTCTCTCTCTCTCGCTCTCGCTGTCTCTCTACCACCTTGTGAGCTCATTATACTGTATGCATGAATATCAGGAATTGTTCATATGCAAAATAAAATCTGATATTGATGGGGGATTTGCTTGAGTCCTGTGTTCAATTTGCTCACAAATGCAAGGTTATTACAATTCTGCAAATGCATTCTACAGTTCAGGTTTATTACAACTTGGGGCTTTTACTATTTTATCTATTATCTAGCTCAGGGGTTCTCAACTGGTGGGTCGCGGACAGCTGGTCAAAATTATGTGCGTCTCAGGTTGGACTTATTTTTTATTTTGAAAAATTTTTTTTTTTGACAGGCATGGTAACCATAGTTTGTTTGACGTTCATTTTAAGTTTGTGTTGATGTTGGGATGCAAGATGGCAAAGCGCAAATATGACCCGGAGTATTGAAAATGTTGATTTTCATACGAGGGCTGGACCCGAGTAGCCAACTATTCATTCGCTGTGCTGGAATCGGGAAATCATACATTCCCCCCACCACCACCACCACCATCGGTCGGACCGAAAGCTCAGCACCCGCACCCCCCGTCTGAATAATTTAATAACTTTTGTACATGCAGTTGTCATGGTCCTCCTTAGTTTCTTATTAATTTGCTTAAAATGGAGCGAAAATATGTTGTTTTGTGCCCTTTTTTATTTTGTGCAGTATTGTACACACAGTTGTCATGGTCCAGTTACTATGCATGGTTATATGCTCTGAAATACACGTTGCACAGGAAAGTATATTGAATATTGAATTCTTAAAAAAATTGGGTTGCAACTCAATGACCAAGGGAACATGTGGGTCCCAGGGTGACACCAGTTGAGATCCCCTGATCTAGCTATTATGATTTTGGCCACTATCCTCATTGGTTAAATAAATGGCGATAGAGCTTTTAGGCTGTAGTAGGCAGCAGTAGTTTGAGCATCATAAATCCAAACAGGTGAGCATTTCGCACTGTATAGTGAAAACCAGGATTTAATGGTGGATACTTGTACAGCATATGCAACCTAGACTGCATCACAACAGACTTATCAAAAAAGGCAATCTGGCAATAAAGGTACTACAATAGTGGACTGTATATAAAGATGGAAGAACCCTCTGTGACGACTATGTTTCCTCAAGAGTGGATTTGAAGCTGTGGTGGCTCCAGGTCTCGCCGTCTTGGCACGACTCCAGGCTAATCCAAAAATAAGCAAAGCGCTGCAGCATGAGTGCAGCTATGACAGGCCACGCCAACGTCGCCTCTCACACAAGGTGGCCACACACTTAACTGTGCATAACTTTCCTCTGTAATGCAATCTAAATGGGGAAGTTGTATAAAAATTCACCCCTGTAGACCTGTCTTGAAAATAAGCTATAGAGACCAAAACCTTTTTTTTGTGCTAGGTTGCAAATATGTTTATTTTAGCAATAACGTTGGACATTTTAACATGGGGGTCTATGGGGCTTGACTCGTTTTCGGAGCCAGTCTCAAGTGGCCATTTGAGGAACTACATTTTTTTAGGCCTGTCGGTTTGGCCAATATCGCCAAAGCATCATAGATCTGGAGTCACGTCCAGTAACTACAATACTCCCATCCCACCTTTCGTCCTCTGGGAAGGTAAGCTGCTAACTGTATTTGCCTGTAAAGGTTCCTGGTGACTTAGATTTACCAGACAAACTAGCAAAGAATGGCAATGTTAAATGCTACCAATAGTTTAGATTTCTGCCAAATATATCCATAGATGCAGCTATGGCGTGTTTATGTTTACAACCAGTCTTGCATTGCATATGAAGCAGTGACGTGTGGTGAGGTTCATGGCTGGTGAGGCATTGACTTCATCAGAATCTGATTTACAAATATATGCACTCTACACAGGAGCATGTTTGCCATTTGATTGGCAGCAGTGTACGGGTTATGAAATGCATGTTTCTTCTTTTTTTTTTCCAAGTTATTGCAGTCTGATCTTTACCTTTAAATGAAGTCCATGCTCCGCTCCTTCTGGACAAAATATCTGTTACTTTTTTGTAAAAGTCTCCTTATCTTCCTTCGCTGCACTTGACTTGCTAACTGTATATCGTACCTAGTCCGGCTTGCTGTCACTGTTCTCTGCAACCACGGAGTCACAAGAAGCATGTCTGGGATCAGAGCGCCCCCTGCCATGAGGCAAGAGAACTGCCTGCCTCACCTGGAACCTCTTCTCAGCGGTTTATGATCGCTCAGCACGTTACACACATACAATTGGTAAGAAAAATACTGTACATTATTATATACATCAGCTGAACTATGGAGCATCAGTTCATATATTAAATGTGTTTCAACCAGGTTATTGGCGACATCCAGACAGCAGCACGCTGTCACTGCAGGCAGCCAACAGGCAGCGAGGGATTGTGCAATCCAAGTGAGGCTGAGCTCGCTGCTGCCTCACTTGGATTGCGCAATCCTTCACTGCGCTGGCTGCTATGCAGTGACAGCCTACGCATGGCAGCCTGCGCAGTGAGGGGTTGCACAATACAGGTGAGGCACAGCTCGCCGCTGCCTCACCGGCTTCTCTTCCAAGCATTTGAATGGGAAATTGCGAAAATTTAGCAATTTCAAATTTAAAAATCGTCAAAAAAAAAGTACTTTATAGTACAAATCTCTGGATAAATATAACCATTGAAATTATTTTATCATCATGTATTTTTTTCTTTCCGTGATGTCCTGCCTCCCCTGACTGCACATCACTGATATGAAGCATGTGCATATGAGCATGCTTGTCTGGTGGAAGGGGCTGAGGACCAAAGGGGGTGAGGGCCAGACTGCAGGAGGAGTGCTGTATTTACAAAAAGTCTTTTTGTTCTTGATTTCTGTCTACCTCTGCTTCAAATGAACATCCCTCACCAGTTTTTTTTTTTTCAGATAGGTGGGCATAATAAACTGGCACCAGAGCATATCAGTATTTGTTTGGGTCTGAACCAGATTGTTGCTGGAAAGTACATAGACGTTTAAATGCTGTTGTTCGGCTTGTCCTCTATTTATATTTTTGCCAAAGTGTGACAGCCCTGCTGCAAATCTGCCTGAGTAATGGGATTTTATCCAAAGTGGAACACACACATCATTAGCGCAAAAACAACGGATGAATGTGATAAGACACGCTTATATATTGCGTTTCCTGTTTACTCTGCATTGTCTGAGTCATACATGTGGCAATTTAACACATCAGCTATCAGGTTCTGTCTGCAAACCCACTTTCAAGGTGAGCGGATAAAAAGTGTCGGTAGGCATCCGTGTCCTTCAGCGTGTGAAGGACTCTGCAGTGCATAGGAGGCAGGGACTCTATAGGATATTGTGCATCAGTGGTTGCATGTTTGTTGCATAGTGTGCGTGGGCAGACCGGTTAGTGGAACACAGACAAAGGCATCGTGCACCACAGAGGAGAATGGCTCAACTATGCATTTGAAATCCACTTGGCTTACATAACGGCCACTGACCATCATCCTCAAAGCAAGAGCTGAAAGAGCCAGCTCCCAGTGGATTCCCTGCCCCCTTCTCTATCCGTTTAATCCCAAGAGCTGTGTGTGGTAGGAAAGACTGAATGGGTTGGGCATGAGCAAATGTAAAAATCCCAGGGATTTACACTGCCCCCAAACAGAGTTATACAGTAATCTGGGCACAGCAATTTTTTATAGCCCTGGATGTACAACGAAATGGAAGAGAAAAGTCAGGTGTTACATGACCAATGGCACTGATTTAGGTTCATCTTCCATTACTGATTCCATACCAACAAAAAGGAGAATAGAATGTGTCCTTCACTGTGGCAAAGCATAACCTCTGGAAAGCAAAACACACAAGCACAACTTCACCGCTTCAAGTTCTGCAGTCTGTGTAAAGTCTTCACAGGAAAGATATCAATTCATTAAAACATGTTGTTGTTGGGTGAAGAATATTAATACATAGAGCAGGTCTGTACTGTAAAAATACAAGAGTAGCCAACTACATTTCTCTATGGGAGAATCTGACCTACATAAAAACAAATCAACTGATTTATAAAAGGGTCAGTTTACCAATAAAACACACACACACACACACAGACACACACACACAGACACACACGCACACACACACACACATCTATCACTGCACATGAAGAGATGGCGGGAAAAGCCTCAGCACAAATAAAAAAAACACAAAAAAACTTCTGCATATTATCCAAACATTACCATTGTAGCCCCTTAAGCGGGTTGCATACAAATAAAAAGTGTGAAACAATGCACTAATCATGAAAGAATATAGTGATGTTGCACATCAGATTAAACAGCAGAACCTGGGCTACAAGAATATATATATATATAATACCAACTAAATGAATGATCAAATATGGAAATCGATATAGCGCCACCCAGTCAAAGCTCGAGCGCTTTGGTACTTCCTGCAAAATGCACAAACAACCCCTCAAAGCTGACAGTCCACAGATTCCAAACATATCCATCAAAGCTCTCTAAAATCAAAGCGTCAGCGATAAATTACCCAAAGAAACAGCAAAAAACGAAATCGTTTCATCAAACTGTAGTTGTAAAATTTCTCTTAGCTGTTTTGTACGGAGCCCGTCTGGTGACATCGATAAGAAATAAAAATAACTCGTTCCCACGCATCAGTAAATCGTGGCCACGAGATATTAATGCGTGGTAACAACATAGTTATCACACGGTGTTTCATCGCAAGAGATCTCAGGATATCAGTGGAGTTCATTCCAAGGTTAAAATCAAATCAAATCAAATCAAAATGCTCCATGTTTCATGCACAGTACCCCCGTTATCCTTAATCGACAGCTGGTATGACCGCACTGTGAAATTCGCTCCACAACTTCTCTTGTTTCTTCATATTAGTAATGCAAGGCCACAATTTAACTATGTCGTTCCCACGCATTAATAACTCGTGGCCACGATTTACGAATGCGTGCGAATGAGTTATTTTTATTTCTTATCGATGTCACCAGACGGGCTCCGTAGTTTTGCCATGAAAAGTTTATTTTATCGGTAAATCCACACCGGAAACAGTTAGTCCTATTTCCTATGTTACTCTGAAATCCTTCCGGGCGTCTTTTGGAGCATTCGTTAGCCTTTGGGAGCT